CCTGTACCATGCTAATGCCAAAAGATACAAAAGCACTTTTGCCTTGTAAACCACTTCACAGTACAGATTCCTGTGCAGGAGGCACAGCTGGGAAGACTTTGCCTTTATTTGCACGGCTGTTACAATATGCGTTCATTTTAAAGTCGTGTTTTTTTCCAGTTGGTTAAATCCAGAAGTGGAACTTGCAGTTTCAACAATCTGCGTTCGGATCTATGTTTTGTATCTTGATTTCATTTCCCCCGAAAGGTGAATTCTGAATGGTTAGTAGTCATTAAGACAGGTCGAGTTGTGATTTTTATGTAGCGTGTCATTTCATATAGTTGTGATTTTATAGATGTGATAGGTATTTATTTGAAAATATATATATCTCATTTACTGTAAATTGAGTGCTGTTTTCTACTAACCTTATTGACCCCTTTCTATACATGTGTCTTAACTATAGGTAACATTCCTACCAAGAATACTACATTGTGCCTGACACTAATTAATAAAGGGAATGCCTGAAGTTAGTAAGTGCACGGGTTGCTTTTAACCATCAGGTTCTTCTTTATCTTATTTATGGACTGGCAGGTGAAAACAAGCTTTGCTTCTGCTTTTACTGGTTTTCTTTCCTAGCTATTAATCAAACCAGACTTTGATTTGTAGCCAGACTACAAGAACTAGTTTTTGTATCAGAGTCTCACTCTTCTAGAAGTTGTGTTAGCATTTGGGGCTGATCGCAGGTATGTAGCCAGAGATTTGCATTGGTTCAGTGATTTGATTCTGAAAAAAATGTTGGCCATAAATGTGTTGATTTAGCACAGACCGTCAATACTGACAGAGAGAGTATTGTGTTTTTTTAATGTTTAGAGAGATGTGGACTTTCTGGAGTAATTTTCATTAATGGCGGTTTGGTTTCTGATCCTTTCTGTGCATTAGTGACATTCTTTTTGTTTCTCATCAGAGTTGGAGAAACACTTTTGTCTGCAATACCTGAAAAACTGACTAGAATGCTGGGTCTAGTTTTCATGTCATTGCTTGCAAGAGTTGGGGAGAAATCAAAGGAGGGCTACGAAACTGCTGTGAAGGGCTGGAATATGTGAAGCTGAAAGAGCATAACCTATTCCTTTAACAAAAATAATGGGCTATTGTGTGAAGTTCTGCAGATCTCTTACAGTCATTGGCTTGTTTAAACAGATGCAACCTTTGGGGAAGAAGGAAAAAAAAAGGGCAGGAAAATGGGGGCATTGAAATGGCTTAATAAAAAAAGAGGTGGATTCACCAGCGTGTGACTCCAAAACAAGGCTGTCCTTCTGAAGCGCACATTACTCTGTAGCCTTTGCATTTAGGTCAGCGGCGTCTGCCACAGGCCTTTTGGCCTACGTATACAAGAAGTAGTCTTGTGGCTCGTGTTTTCTAACTGTACTGATTAATCTTGTGTTTTCTACTTTAATGTGACTACTTAGCGGTTCTGAAGGAAATGCTCATATTCTGTGACTCCTGCTGGCAAATACCTGGGATTACACCATTGACTTTCTTGCACTGGCTTATCTTCCAGTTTTCCTTTCAGGATTTCCAACTGTGACACAGGTGCTGTGGAAAGAGACAGCAAAACAGGGGGAGAGAAGGTGTTTAGTTACTTCTAAATACAAAAGAAATTAATAATCCATATAACTTAAATGGCTGATGCTGGTGGAAATACATTGTTTTCCAGGAATAGTCATGTTTCAGACTTACTGTGCAAATTTGTCCGTTTCGTCGTAGTTTAGTGCAGGCTGCACCACTGGCCTGTTTCCCTTCCAGGCAGCGAGGTGCTCTGTTGAGCAGGGCTGTCTCCCAAGGCCACGTGTTTCTAGCGAAGAGTTCAGATGACTGTACTTAAATAAATGCTATTGGGCCTCTGGACTGTAGTACTCATCCTAAGATAACAACTTGACAGTCTAAAATGTATTTAATCCTCTTTTGTCACATAAAAGTTTACTCAGCAGCCTCATGTAGAGCAGGGGCATGTTCGACTGGTTGCTTATTCTGCCTTCTGCCAAGCGCCTGCCCCTCTCTGAGGAAAGCAGGGTCCTTGTGCGAGGCCCAGAACCGGGGGGCTGTTGCCAGTCTTGGTTCTGAGCTCCACAGCGTAACTGGATGCTGCAGCAATGCAGTATCATGAATAAATCAACACGGTGGCCACGTGGTCTATCTAATACTTAAAGTACTATTTTTTTTTTTTTTCAAGTGACTAACTAAACTACTCCTCCATTTATCGCAGAGGTATGTTTATCCACTAACGCACATTTTGTGCAGCACAACAGAAAGTGATGTGATGAAGTACTGGCAGAGCAACCTGGAACCAACACCAGGTGGGAAGACTCATTCTTTTACCTGATTTTGGATCCCTGTAAAATAGCCTATATACTTAAAGATAAGGATTTGCAAGTAGTACCAGAAGGAGGAATTTGGGATTAAGTCTAGGTATGTATGAAGGGGTTCCAGGGTTCGTACAAGTTACTCTTGTCTGTGCGTGTAGGGAGTGTTTGTTAATTTTCATTCTTGCTGTCATACCAGAATAGTTGTGACAACAGGCTGCCCAGGGAGGTGGTGGAGTCGCCATGTCTGGAAGTGTTCAAAAAACATGTGGATGTGGCACTTCAGGACATGGTCTAGGGGACATGGTGGCGCTGGATTAATGGTTGGACTTTATGATCTTGAAGGTCCTTTCCAACCTAGTGATTCTGTGAACTTCAGTAGAGTTCCAGTCAGCCAAAAACTACACTCGTAGTCTCTCTGATCAGCCGTAGGAGAACTTTAATGGGAGGACAGAGGGATGGTGCTTCAGCAGATTAAGATATGGAAAACCTTCAAAACACTCTGCAGAAGGCTTCATGTTTTAAGTTAAAGCAGTTTCCTTGCTATTTAAAGTGAGCGCAGCTGACTGGATCATCAACAGCTTACAACTGCACCAGCAGCGGGGATTAAATCATCCTTGGAGAACATAATGCTTTCCTGCACCTGCCCTTCTCCTCAGAGACAGCACTTTCCACTACTGCAGCTGCTCAAAGGTAAGAGGCTCTGGCCCAGCAGCAGTGCTGAACAGGAACTGGTTTGCACTGAAAGTTGGACTTGTTTTGGTTTACGCGGTACAGGCAGCACACTTCAAATTCTGTCCTTCATTCACCACCACTATTTCTGCAGTTACATCCGTATTCCCCCAAAGCTGTGGCAGTAGGAACTCTGGCTGTGAGCATCAGTGAATACAGCAAAATTAGTCACTTTTATTTAAAAGAAATAACATATTACAAATAAGTGTGCAAAACAATTTCTGTGATTAAATACACATAAAAGCAACATGCAACCTTGACATCAAAATCTGCGTAGAAGTTAGTCCTTAGTACGTTATGTGACTCTAAAAGAAACTTGTCAAAGTTAGAGTTTGCAGCTAAACAGTCTTCGAGTGAAAGGGCAGGTCAGAGTTGAAGCGTCTGTGAAATTAAATTTCAGAAGAGCAAGACTTCCCTGCCCCAGGTATTTAGTGCGATGAACGGAGAGCTTGTGTCTATTCCAGTTTCTAGCGCCTTAGTTCAGCAGTAAGTATTAATTGCCATTGGGGGAAAGA